GTGGGACGGTTATAGAGATGACTGGTTTCTTTTTGATCTGTAGACTGGGGTTTTGCCATATTGGTGGTGGTAACAGGTCGGGAGAACGAGTGCGGGCCTGCTGAACTTGAGACGGTCCAGGCTGGGAAGTCGATGGGTTCTTCGAGACAGAAAGGCCCCTATTCCGGTTCTCTGTAGTGGTAGGGCTCCAAAAGTGGGCATGAGATTGACTAGGGCTATATTCGGAGGATGCATCATGGCCATGAGACGAGCTATCTCGCCCCTCCATAAAGATAGAACGACTTCGTGCGTCCCCCTTGACGGCTGGTACGTCCCATGATGAGGACATGAACTCCTTTGATGAATATGGAAGACCACATGGGGAGAAAGGCGAAATCGGCGATGGTTGGAATTTCACGCCTACTGGTGATGAAGGACCCGAAGCAGGGGAAAGAGTTGGGTGTACAATGACTGGAGAGGCAATGGAGCGATTGGACATGGAAGGTCCGGGGTGAGGAGAAGCCCTCGAGATGGGCGATGACATATTTACAGGGTATGGAGATGCTCGAGAGGTGGATGAGGGGGATGTTGCACCGTATGATTGCGACCTCGAGGTCGACGACATGGATCGTGAAGGAGAAAAGACTGATCCCGACCTTGGATTTGACAGGCCGATCTGAACACCTCCAAGCTGACCTCTAAGCTCCAAGGCCTCAAGAGTGATGCCGTGTGCCGACAGCCGACTGACCCAATCGTGATCGGAAAGGTCGTCTGTTGGTGCGTATTGCCTTTCTAGTTGGCACTCTCGCAAGAGGATTCTTCGTTCTGTCACCGTCATCGCACCCCACTTCTTTCCAAACGGCATAGCAGAGGGACTATGTGATCTATTTTCGGAGCTTCCTGCGGGTTCAGCATCCTCTTCGGTATTGAGATCGATGAGAGAGTCTCGCTGTACAGCATCTTGCGGTACATCAGCTCTTATCCCATTACTAGTCGCGTCTCGGTTGTTCTTTGTGGCGGCAGTCGAACTGGCAGTTTTATCTACATGACTATAGCTGGGTGCTGGGGTCGAAATTTCTGCCTCAGGTTGTATATACATGCCCGGCGGTAGGGTGACCTCGAGTTCGGCGGAACGTAGTAGGTCCATGCGAACTGTCGTGGGAAATTTATCCCGACGGGGAGAGACGGTTGGTGATGTGCCATTGGATAGAATGGAATTGTTACGTTGAGGGCGGACGATTGTAACTCGAGGCGGCTCATGGAAGGACTGGATTGACATTTGATGACGTAATGCGCTGGCCGAGTTGGAATGCCGGAGAGTGCCAAACCACTCTGGGTTTCTAGACGAGCGGGATGCCTTTTGGTAGCTAAGCGTTTCGGCTGAAGCATGATGTTTCAGAATACCGTGGCTTCTTTGTTCGTGTCTTCCGTGGAGGGAATGTCGGCTGGATGAAGCTTCGGGATTCAACAAGTGACTCGGTGATCCTGAGGGAACTTGCAGCATGGGGCTGCCCTTCTTGACCGGGGAAACTCCATTACTTGTTGGTGAGGTAGAGGTATTGACTGTTGGACGTGGTGGTTTAGATAGGTCGAGGGCATTCAAGCCTTGATTGACGATGGAGGTCAATCGTCGAATGAGCTCGTCTACGTTAGGCCTTCTTCTCCTATCAATCATCCAGCACTCTTGCATCAAACTCCATAGCTCGGGTGTCCACTCTGTTCGAACTTCATTTACAGCTGAAGGCGGCTTCGGTAGCTCTTGAAGCGAAATGGCAAGGGCCACTGTTTCGTCACGGACATGTTGGTAATATGGAAGACGCCCAGTAAGTAGCTAGATAGAATATGTAAGCAAATATCGCTGAACATGGTAGGGAAAACGTTGCTCACCTCGTACATGGTCATCCCAAAGCTCCAAACATCGCTCATCGCCGTCACAATTTCCAAAAAATCATCACTCGCCCCATATCCCTGTCGTTCAGACCCCCATCGACCATTCCATGACCTGCCATCAATCCGGTTCGATTGGGCAATAAGCGCTTCCAAGTGGCGCTGATCACATACGATCTCGGGGGCAGCCCATCGAACACCTTCCACATTAATGACGTCCTTGATCGACCTCATTCCATTTCCCCTGCCCTCACCACCCAAGGTACCATTAACACCTCCCAGGGTTGAAAACTGGCTTGTCGTACGAGCATTGCCCCGGCCGCCGTTCATCAGTCGGAAGAGACCGTAGTCGGCCAGCACGGCTTCGCCGCTGGAGTCGACGAGAATGTTGGCTCCTCGTACATCACCATGCACGATTTGTGGGAGGAGATTGTGGAGAAAGCTGAGGCCTTTGGCGGCGCCGAGGAGGATGGAGAGCGAGTTGGCGTGCGGATGGAGTTGGAGGTAATATGAGGCCGAGCCATTGGCGAGATAAGGGGAAATGATGAAAGGCCCATTGATGGAAGATGAATAGGGTGTGTAAGTTGACGTCGGGGTTGTGGCATTGGACCCGGTAGGGTGGCCGAGGTCCATAGAGAGTCCGAGAAAAGGTAAAAGGTACTGATGGTGTAGGTTGAGTCTTGTCCGAAGATCCTGTATGATAGCCTGCACGATGGGAATAGATTGCACAGTTAAAAAGGAGATAATGCAATACAAAATCCGAGGGGTGTGACCCCCTGGTATGCAGGAGACACGTACCTTACGCGTCCTTTCATCGCCGGTCCGCAACAGCTTGACAGCCCTCAACGTAACCTGCC